GCCAAGCCTGAACCTACCATCGAATAAACGATGGCTTTAGTCACTGTGAAGACTGATTATTTTCTCTGCAGGCCGAAGCTGTCTAGACACTAGTCTAGCCAGTGGTCTGGAAGAATCCCAGGTCTCCTCCCCCGAAGGGTCGGTTCCGGAAATTCCGCCCAGTCGAACCACAGAGTTAGTTGCTCAGCGTCGTTAGCCTATGCCATCCAGCTTTCTAGCCTAGAGTCATCCGAAGACAACTAGCTTTATAGCCTAATGACAGCATAGTTTCCAGCGGGCGCCACGAGGAGGCCGACGCTAAGCTGTGGGAAGACGAGACTAGGTCTCCATCCCACAACACCGGCCCTTCGATCGAACGCTGGGTCTCCTTGTCTTCCACCACTGTTCACGACGATCTCCCGCGCACGGTTCACGCCGCTCCCAGTGGTTTCCAGCCGGTTCCAGACATCCGTCAACCGGGACGATGCCGGCAGTTCTTCTCCTAAGAACAGACACCAGGTCTCCTCCCGCCAGCGGTCGGTTCTGGATATCTGTCTTCGGGTCCGAACGCCAACCCGCCGTTCTATTTAGACAGTATCCAAGTTACATCTTAGAGATTTTAAGGGCAAATTTGCATCTATGAATCTGAGAGAAAAAAAGAAGTACTAACATAAGATGGGTCTCGTGACTTTTGCCATATTTCAGTGTTTTTGAATATATGGTCCGCGAAATCTGCTCTTGAGGTCCTGCTACGTTTCCAAAAAGCATAAAAAATAAAATTTGAATTAACGGAATATGCCACAATGCAGCTAAAAATCTAATTTTGATCGTTTAAGCAATTAAATTAATATTGCTTTCGTTTCATGGAAATTTCCTGAGCAAATTCTCTTTCTCTACCTTTATTTTTACTTTTTCATTCCAGTCTGAAGATTTATTTTCGCAGGGAAACTAATATTTAAAACTTTCGTTGGTGTACGCTGCTCTTATTTGCAAAAGCAGCGCTGTTCACTTTTCATAAGCATTGAATATAATTTCTTTTTATTTTATTGCCGGTATAATCCTTTTCTTTGATATAAAATTCTTAATTTAACACATATTTTTTAAATCTTAAAAGAGAAAACTTTGTCTAAACCAGAGTAAGCAATAACGTTGCAATTTTATTTATATAAAGCGTGAAAACGATTTTAAAATGTGAATTAATTATTTTTTTAGAAGATCTGGAATTTAAATAATTAGAAATACCCCCAATTTTTTGTTTTCAAGTTTATCACTTTACAATGCCAAGCCTAAACATGACAAATACTAATTAGTATTTGAAAGAGACAACTCTATTTGGAACAGCACCAGATTCTGTGAAAAGGTAGAATACATTTCGGGAAGGGAGAAAACAAGGGAACCTATGGTATTGCTTCGTAATCTTGTCCAAATAAGAAAACTGCAATACAGCTAGAAATTCCATTTGAGTTAAAGTCGAGCTACCACATTAGACTAAATAACCTGATTACAGCAAAACATACAAGAGCTATCTGGTAAGGGAACTTTCTAAGTGAAACTGGCTCGTATATTCCCCTTATATACAGGAAAAACCTCAAAATTCAACTATGCATCTGTGTTCGAGCCAGAGTCGACATTTATCAGTCGATATATCAGTAGTAGTCGATCTTCAACCTCTCGACCATTGGGAATTTGAACTACCAGTGTTTAGGGATACTACTCCTCAGTCACTGATGAGCCTCAGTATATATCGGAACATATGTCTATTTATTAATAAGGCCTATCTGATAAAAGTTTTCAACAATAGTGTATTCAAACCAGTTTATTAAGAAGAGTTTGCAACATGGTATATCGTACTGTGCGCAGTAACTCTCGGATAACTAGCTTTTTGGTCTTTTTATTCATGACGTAATTTATACAGAGATTATATAACTTTACGGATGTAATCTAAATTATGTTACTGTGATAGACCTTTTATTATTGAGTGATTTTATATGGAAATATAAATGCATAAGTAAATAATTTATACATTAAAAGAAATATTAATTTATGAACGTTGTTTTAATTCATATAAAGACGCATAATTAAAAACGTTTGCATGTTTTTTTGCAAAAAATATTTTCACGCTGTTAGCCTTAAGTGAAAGTCTGGAATAACATAAAATAGACGATAATTAAAAAGACGTGGATTATCAAATTAACCTTCTGCATAATCAGTTTTCCAAATTGTCCGAGAACGCTTTGTAGAAACATTTACGATTGTCGGAACAAGGAACATAAAAATTCATATATGCCCTCGCCGAGATCCAAAACATGGATCTTCTAACTGCTAGCTGGACATACTATCACTTACATACCATATACAGCACATACGCGATGACTTGATAATTCTTTACAGTCTCCCTCACTTGCAGGGAGATTGGAGAAGCATGTGAGACCCTGTCGACCAAAACCATGTGGTAACTAATTATCACCCACAAAAATTTAATTCGGGTGCCACCTTAAAGACCTTTAGATATTCTGGATCAAGAAATATTAAAAGTCATCTTTGCTTTCATCCAGAGCTATAGACCTTCCAAGTTACCACGTACGCTACCAAAGAACGCACGAGGATATGCTGTAAATCCTTATAACTTTATACCATTAAAAAGGGAAGCTGTCTCGTAATATTCTTTCAGTATTTTAATACAGTACCAATAAGAGAAAATCGAGGGTACTTACGTATTATCCCATCTACCAGCAAAGTAGTTCGATTTCATAACAATTATGGATGATCACTTCCTTTAGTATTTCGCAATAGTGATTGGCGATCTGCAACCGTTGCCGAAACGATGGACTGGTATAATACCTTATAAGGTATTTCTTCCGCCTTCTTAGCGTGCCTTCGTGGTGTACTGGTCAGCACACTGAGCCGGTAATTCAGAGGTCCGTGGTTCGATTCCCGGCGAAGGCGGTTTCTAATTTTTCATCTCTTCTGCTTCCAAAAATATCCCAATGTCTCTATAGTGGCGCACAAACTAAAAGGGTGTTGCATGATGTTTCTCCACACCCAGGATTTGGCGATTGGGTCCCCTGAAAACCCCAGTCATTCCTTAAAAGGGGGAGTATATAAGGTATTTCTTCCGCCATTCTAGCGTGCCTTCGTGGTGTAGCGGTCAGCACACGGAGCCGGCATTTCAGAGGTCCGTGGTTCAGTTCCCGTCGAAGGCGGTTGCTAATTTTTCATATCTTCTGCTTCCAAAAAAATTCTAATGTCTCTACAACCTAAGTACCAAATCGGTGAGTCAAATAATCTCCGAAGACCAAAATGACATCTGCATCTATTGAATAAATCTCAGTAAAATTTTGAAATCACATGCAATACAAGGTACGCATAGCATGACGAACGAAGAGTTGCCCTGAGGAATAATATCCAAGAACTTTTATCTTTCCCTCCCCCCCCCGCTTTTTCTCCCCGTCGACTACCACTAAACTTTCAAGAGAACACTTAGAGCGACTGATTTCAAGCTCCTCTGTTCCACAATATCACTCTAGTTACAGACATCCATGTTTTTCCAAGAATTTGAATCCGAGCCGAACGGCGTGGCAGGCAACTAAACATTATACTAATTAGCATGGCTAATGATTCAAAAGATTCACTGGGAAAAATGACCGCGTGGAAGAATTTCTAAAAGAAATTGGCTCATGTATATATATTATATCTAAGCAAATCTAACAAGCGTCTCACACAGCCAGCCTATTTCGTTAGGAATGGTCCCAGGCTGGCATTACCAGTGCCTCAACTTGTGGAGTTTTATGAAGTGGGAGCCCTATCTCACTTGAACGTTTCGGTGTCACTCATCTTAAGAGACAAGGTACGAAACAGTATATTTATTGGGCCACGCAAGTTACAAAACCGAGGGACCTCATATTCCAGTGGACCCCCAAATCACTTTCCAAGATTCAAAGAAAAGTAGTGAGAAATTATGAAACATAATAAATATATCCTGTGTCTTAAATCGAAAGGCCTTAAAAGCTCATATACCAGTCATTGAAAGGATGCTTACTGTTTTTGATATTTTGTCACTGCTTTTCTTTGAATTCGGAAATTGATTTGGAGGCCCTTTGGAATGAGAGAACCCTCGCATTTGTGAACCTATAAATTCGCTTTTGACCTAGCTGTTTCCACTCGACCACTATTACGTTGTTTCAATAGATTTGGTTGGGTTATTTAAATACAAAAAATCCAAGGTTATACCATATTCATATAAAAGGAGAAGATGCCTTGTAGAAGGAATTTCTAAGGAAAACGGGCTTATATTCAAGTTACACATTGGGAAAAGCCCAACAACGTCCGCATAGCCAACCCGTTGGCCGGATTTATACCTGGATCGAAATACCAGTACTCAGTGGGTTGTTTTTCAACCCACTGAGGGTTTATTGGGTTTTTCACTGGTGGGTTGTTTTTTCAATAACAAGAATACAGATTTTAAAATTAGGAAATGAATTTTCGATTGCCGTTCGTTTTAAAGGCACATTTCTGTGCGTGTGGAGAAACCAGGCAAAAGTAACTGTACTTCAAAAATCAAGCAAAATGACCTATATTTATTGTAAATGACAGATTTTCCAGATGCGCATTCTTTTAAAATCAAGCATATCTAAACCTGAATTTTCTTAATTTTAATGTCAAGTTACCATACGACCTGTTGCATCTGTCATTAAATTTTAAAAGTTACGACATGTTTATTCAAAAAGAAAATGATTCTTATTTCTGTTTACGTTTGCGCGTGTGAAAATTGTTTCCGAAATGATGATTGATTCTTTTTCCACCGCCTTTCAGTCAACTGAGTGACTAAGAAGAAACATTATTACAACCCACTGTCAACTGGCTGATCGCTTCTCAGATGCGTTAAGAGAAGAAAGAACAAACCGAAAGGGAAACTAAATCACACAAAAATCTGTACGATAAACATCGCCAAGCGCTGCAAATATGAGAGTCCAAGTTTCCGTTGTCCGCATGTTAATGCGTGGGTGGAAGTGATCGAAGCCAAACTTGCGCCTTTGGCGCTATTAATAAAAGCTCAAGGTTTTCACAAACTGGCCAACATTTTCAACGCGATTGAGTGTAAGGAAAGGATCTGAAGAAACAGGTGAGTTGAGACGATATCATAGCATGTCACACCGCTGAATTTATTTGTTTACTAAATTAAATCAATTTTTTAAAAAAATAATTCATTTGTGATATATTTTACACACATCTGATTACCTGATCTGATTTTACATTTATATTCACATCTGATTATCAATTTGTTGGGAAAATATTTCTGTTTAAGTTTTGAAAAGAAAATAGAAATTTTCGTAGCTATTATAAGAAACTGAAATTTTTTTTAAAGCAACTAAATTTGCGAACGTATCCGATGTAAGATTTCGCCTTTGCATTATATAAATACAAAATATTTAGGTAACTTTTTCAGTTTTAATTTACTCAGTTTAATTCGTACAAACAGCTAACCCTTTGCGTTTAAAAGTTGTTTAAAACAATTCTTAACTATGTTTTCATTCTTATTGCAGAAAACTAAATTTTTTCAAGACAGTTAAATAAAAGTTTTTATTAATAAATAAACTGACGCACATGAATAATAATAATAAATTAACTCTTCTTAAATTAATCTGAAAAAATGAAGTATATTGATCTCAGCAGTATATTAATAAATAATCCAAACAGAAGTTAAACTTCGAGGTTTGAAATAATTTTAACTCAAAGTTTATTTTAAATTGTATTATGCAATATTAAAAGTATTTATTTATTTTAATACATTTTTTTAAAGTTTTTTTATTATCTTTCTGTATTTACTTTTCTGAAAAATATGTCTTAGTTTAGCTCATTAATGTTAAATGTTTCTAGTGTTGAATAGATGACCTGATTTAAATCACTATAGGAACATAACATTCTATTGATTTGATAAAAGAGAAAACTTATTTTTAACAAAACAAAAGAAATTTTTAAAAAATTGCGCGTTATACTAGTATTTCTTCATATCTACTAGAATAATTAGTTAATTTGAAATATTTTCTTATTTAGAGAATCTTAAAAAAAAACTAAAATTTTAAATTAATTCAATTTAATAAAAGGTATTACAGTATTATTTTAAAAAATAAACATTTTCTGCAAATTGATATAACAAAAAATTATTTATTGTACAAGGAAACGTAAAAATACGTTCGTATAATTTTACAACTCATCTTTTTTAAATGCTTTATATTTTCAGCACATCATGTAATTATTTCAACGCATTAAGTCAAATATATGTATACTGTAGTTTAAAATATTTTCTTGGTGAATGATGGTAGGAATTTATTGAAGGTGCTTACAGTTAAGTTGAATAATAACGATGGTTATTTATGTTCCCAGAAGAACTGGCCACTTCTATATGTGGTCATCTTAGAGAAGAGAGCGAAAAGAGAGAATTCACTGTGTTTTTGAATTGAATTCTATTTTTCAGTTGTAATTTTTTTAAATGGGACAATTGTACCATCTTTCATAATTTAATGAAACTTTTTATTTGAATTTCTCCCAGTTAATTATATAAATTAAGCAATTTTGAAATTCTTCATTCTATTCTAAATGAAAGGAACCAATAAAATTACATGGGTTTATACGCATTTACTGATGCAAATTCTAAGCTATAAGAGACATGGATACATTACGACTGAGTTATTCTTATAGTATAAAAGTATTTTATCACAAATTATATATTAAGAAGTTATTACTTTACGAAGAAGAAAGAAGTTATTATTATAAATAGAAAACTATGCTAAATTCTTACTTTGTTGGATGAAGTAAAGGGAGTTCTGGAATCTCGAAAAATTTTGGTTATCATATTTCAACGATATCCATTCTGACCATTCCCGAATCCATTTTGACATTTTTTGCCTGACGTCTTTACGTACGGACACAATAAAGGCCTTTTTTCCAAATCCGGTTTAAAACAGATTTAAAGTGCATTCAAAAGGGATATTTTCGTGATGTCTAAACTTACGTACGTACGTATGTATCTCGCATAATTAAGAAAAGAATTACCCTATAGCTTTGAAATATTGTGCATGGGATTGCTATAACATCTACAATGCACGTTTCTTTGTTTATTGTAGCTGGAAGTACAAAAAGTATATGCATACCCCTTACCTTGCCTTTATTTTAGCAATATACCTCCAATTACAGGCACCGCAGACGGTATAATGGTTAGGAAAGCTTACTGCGATACTGAAGGGTCCGGGTTCAAATCCCTGAGAAGGTATAATTGTAACTCTCCGTCCTTTCATAGGAAGCAGCAGTGGCCGTCTGTTAGGTGCCTCCACAATTTACGGCCACAACTTCTGGCCTTAGGTGTGATCAATGCTGAATAAGCCAGTGCCCGCGATTCTGTTAAAAAAAAAATAACACTAATTACAGAAGTCTTTTAAATGAGGAAACTTTATCATGTTTGGCCATGTCAAATAAAAGAAATAATTAATTTTAGGTAAAAAATTAAAACTAATTTTTGATGCGGCCGGTATTCTTCTGTTATCGGGATCGGATTCAGAAAAATATGTATGTATGTACATGTATGTGTATGTATGTATGTGTATATAATGTGTTTGTGTATACACACACATACATACGTACATGCATATATACATTGCATACATGAACACATCCATCCATACATGCATATATACATTGCATACATGAACACATCCATCCATCCATACATACAAACACACATATCTGAATGCGCTCCCGATAACAGAAGAGCAGTACCGAATGAGGTCTCCCTGTTCCTATGCTTATATTTGGAATCACATTTGGGATAATTACGTTTGGGATACAACATGAGAATTTTTATGAAAGGTGTTTGAGCTGAAAGTGTTAATAAGAGTATTTAAGAAGTATTTTGACTAGTTTTTAAACTATGTGTACTGTTAACCAATAAATAGACAGTGTCCAGTCTTCTTTTGATACATTCTGATTGCAAATACTCGTTCAATAATTGATAAATATTGTCATTTGAAATTTAGTTTATTTCGTTTTGTTTCAGACAAATAAAATCCGTGAAAATGAAAATGAAAAATTTTGAAAATGATCAAATAGCGAAAAACCAGAATGCATTCCCAGTTTGCACTATATGAACGTTCTGTGTATAATGCACTCACGAAAAGTGTAGAGATCTCTAATATAAGTAAAATATTCAAATTCGTGTATTTTTTTTTCCATCTTTGAAAGTACACTTTTAATTGAAGAGTCAAGGCCCAATGTAGATGTTTCGGATGCCACTTTATAATTTTAAATTATTCGCATTATAATGTAAAACAGTGGTCTGAAAATGGCGGCAAGCGGCACGCATGCGGCTCACAAAGCAATTTTATACGGCCTGTGAATACATTGCAGTTATGTATTCGTAGCAAATACGGCATCGTAGAGATTTCATCATCGTAGAGATTAAGTACGAGTATACATTATTTTCATTACCATTAAAAATGAACATGACTATCGTGTCAGAAAAATCTATAAATGGAACTATTTAATTTACAGTGTTATAAATTTTAGTAAAACATTTGAAGATACTATTGTTGTACTTATATCAAAAAATAATCTGATGTAGACACAACATGACTTCTTTGTACGGCCTATCAAGTTATGCACATTTTTGTCACTGCAGTCCCTTTAAACTTATTTCCTGGCATTATTCTAACTTAATTAATCTATCCTGCAAAAGAAGTTGAAAACGATATCAAAAACCGTAAATTTTGAAATTAATATGCCGGTTAATTTTTGTCGTTGGGGTTCTTGTATCTTTATTATTTTATAACGAGTATTAAAACTTTTCCAAATATAGTAACCAGGAGACAGCATTAAAAGTTAGATTTCTTTATTTGTCGAAAGTCAATTTTTTTAAATTTCATTATTTTTGCCATTTAAAACACTTCTGTGTTTGGAAATATATGACTACGAGCAACGATTGCGAAAAAAAAGGTCCGGTAAGGACTTTCAAGACGGTAAATGTAGTGAGTATATAAGCACTTCTGGCACAGCCGACTGAATGAAAAAGGGAAGTGCCCACATAATATACATTTTATAGCAGACCCATAATCAAAATTTCAACACTCTATAAGTAATCGTTTTAGAGTAATGCGAGATAAATGCATACGTACGTATATACAGATGGGTCACGAAAAAAAATATATTTTAAATCCGCTTTGGAACAAAAAGTCCTTTATTTTGTCCGTAAATACAGTCATCACAAAACAAAAATTGCCAGTAGGGATTCGGGAGCGGTCAAAATGGATATTTCCTTTTAAATTTGATAATTAAAATCTTTCGCTATTATAGTATTTTCGGGAAAGTAATAAATAAGCTCAACTACGAATTATTGCACTAAAAATAACTTTGGGAGTATAATTATAGGGGAAGAGTTTTTTTCACCATTGAAAATTAGTAAGAACCTGATTGACCAATGAGCATCTAGTATCTGTGATAATTAGTATCTGTGATAAGATAATTTCTAACAATTTCTCTCCAAGGCTGCAAACTTTATGAAAATCGGAACGTTATCGCTGCAATTGAAATAAAGAAGTTTTTACATAAAAACATATCTATTTTTATTCATGCGTCGATGAAAAATTTACTAAACTCACTGTCTCATTTTGAAAATGTTCTCTGAACACTTGAATTTGTTTATTTTTAATTTAAATTAAATTGCTTATGATTAATTAAACAAGTCAGAACTATTTAAATAAATGTTAATTTGAAAATTTATTATTTAGCCATCAGTATCTTTGAATAACAAAGTTGTAACCAACAAAATGTTTGTCAGGTTTACTTTAGATTTAAGATATGAAATAAGTTTGAACTTTTTCTCTTTGAGATATTATTATTATAGTTTATATTCAATTGACCTTAAGTTCCAAGACATCTTAGACGTGGGTTCATCGAAACGAGGAAAAGAAAGGCAAACTGTGCAGCAACAGAACAGTAGCCGGGGGCCAGGTTCTTCAAGTATCTTACGTTTGCAAGAGTGACTAAGATCGAGATTACTAAAAGTAAATCTAGTGTCGCTTTCGTGCCTTTATAATGCGAATGGGATCCTGATTGTATACTAGATCAAAAAGG